AAGGGGAAAAGGAAAGGGAAAGGGAAAGGGAAGGAAGGAGGGAGGAAAAGGGAAGAGAAGAGTCAGAGAGAGAGAGAGAGAGAGAGAGAGAGAGAGAGAGAGAGAGAGAGAGAGAGAGAGAGAGAGAGAGAGAGAGAAGAGAAGAGAAGAGAGAGACCCAAAGAACGGTCTTGGTGCCTTGGGGTTGGCTCCCTGCTTGTCTGCTTGTGCCCCCCCAACCCCCCCACCCAACTCCCCCCACGAATTCTCCCAACAAGTCGTGGTTCACCATGACTCCTCGACCTCATGGAAGGAGAAGTAAAGAAGAGAACGACAAAAAGAAGAGAAGAATCAGATACAAAAAAACGAAAGCTGAAAATTAATAAACGCGGAAGCAAAAAGTCGTCGGCAAAAAAGCGAGGACCAGATCTCGCGAGCGGGGGCGGAGAGGAAACAGCCGGGGCGCGAGGTAAGGGCGGATGTGGAAGAGGGGGTGAAGGAGGAGATTTTGGAGGAAGAGGAAGAGGGGAGAAGGGCGAGGAACAAAGGAATAGTAGGAGGAGGAGGATATATGAAGGGAAGGAGATAGGAAGAGGAAGAGGAGGAGGAGGATATATGAAGGGAAGGAGGAGATAGGAAAGGAAAAGAAAATTAAGAAGTAGCAGTTACAGAAGGAGGAGGAGGGGGAAGGAAAGGAGGAAGGGGAAGGAGGAGAGGAGGAGAGGAGGAGGAGGAGGAGGAGGAGAAGAAGAAGAAGAAGAAGAGTAGGAGGAGGTAGGAAGAGGAGGAGGAGACAGGGAGGTAAAAGCAAAGAAAGAAGTATCAGTAGCAGTTAGAGAATAAGAAGCAGCAGAAGAAAGAGAAGAACGAGCAGGAGAGCTGGCGTGAGAGCAGGCAGGTGCGGCGGCGCTCGAGTGGGTCAGGAGAGGCCGAGCTCCGGCTGCTTCCCACCCGAACCTCCCGACGTCTCCTCCAGTTACAGCCCCCCCCCCACCTATATCACCTATGCCTTTAAACAAACACTCACACCCTTCTACACCCTCGCCCTCCTTCACTCCGCCCTAGTCGCGGACCTCGGAGCCGGCCCAAACAAACCGCGGATTTTTCTTTTTATTCCATTCGCTCAACGTCAAAACCGACTGTGCGTCACACGAAATTACGTCACTTCATTCTTCATTCCGGTCGTGAAAACCGCCTCGGAAGAACATTCATACCCGCACGCTCAGACTCACAATGTAAACATGAATATTCTCCACGTGGATTTTAACTCTATACTTAGTCCACGTCCGCATCCATGTATATATAGATATTTCACAGTTTAGGCCCGCCGAGAGTGCAAACACGTATATACTTCCAATCTCAGTTTTCTTTCCTTGAACAGGGCAGAAAAAAGGGGACTTCCCATAAAAATCTCTCTTCGTTTATACATGACACTGGCTCCTGTATAAGTAACACCCAACCGTAGCCAAACAAATGGTTTTCCCTCGCATCCTTTTCATTAATAAAATTGTTTAATGGCTAAAGAAATGTCTATCCATTATTCTGACAAACATGAATAATTGATCCGACTGTAAGCGGATGGGCGTGCTGGGAGGGAGGGAGAGAGGGAGGGAGGAGGAGGGGGAGGGAGGAGGGAGGGAGAGGAGAGAGAGAGAAGAGAGAGAGAGAGAGAGAGAGAGAGAGAGAGAGAGAGAGAGAGAGAGAGAGAGAGAGAGAGAGAGAGAGAGAGAGAGAGAGAATTAATAGATGGGAGAAAAAGAAATGCGAAAAATATTAACATCGTCCACTTAGCATGGCCATGACTCACCCACGTCTACTCCTCCCCTCTTAACTGCTCGAGCCCGACCTAAGAATCTAATCAACATGCCCTTCCATGCCTAGCCATATCCCTGCCCCCCCACCCTCACCCAAACACACTTCTGCCCCCTCCCCCGCAAGCACGCCCCCCTCCCCAATCCCCCCCCCTCTTCATGCAACAACAAAAGTGAAGTTCTATTGTGTTGAAATTCCCTTTTACCCCCATCTCTCACACACTCCCGCATCCCCCCTCCCTCTCCCCCCCGCCCTAAATTAAGGTCGCTCCTCACAACTACTTTCCCCGTCACACCCACAATTACCGTCACAATCGCATGCTCCCCCCCCCCCTAACGCCCCTCTCCCCTCCCATCATCACAGTGCGACCCCCATATTAAAAAAAAGGTTCGCACTAGCTTCCCGACCTAAACTACCATCCACCTTCCTTCCTCTCCCTCTTTTCCCTTACCTACCCAAACTCCCATTTACCTTTCCTACCCAAACTCCCACCTCCCTTTCCTACCCAAACCCCATTTACCTACCCAAACTCCCACCTCCCTCCCTAACCTAAACTCCACCTCCCTTCCTACAACTCCCACCAACCTTTCCTACCCAAACTCCTATCTCCCTTCCCTACCCATACCTCCCTCTACCTTTCCTAACCATGCTCTCGCCCCCTCGCTCCGCCTGGCAACCAAGTGCCGCCGCCGCCGGCCTTCCAGATCACCACCGTCGGCGGCATCGCGGTCACCGAGACGGACGGACGGACGGATGGACAGACGGATGGGTGGATGGATGGATGATTGATGGATGAATGGATGGATGGACAGACGGATGGGTGGGTGGGTGGGTGGTGGTGGATGATGGATAGACGATGGGTGGATGGATGAGTGATGGACAGATGGACGGACGACGACGTATGACGGATGGGTGGATGATTGGTGGATGGATGGATGGATGGATGGATGGATGGATGGATGGACGCACGGACGGGACAGTGGACAGAAATCGGGGCGCGGAGTCGACGACGTCACGCATAGTAACGCAGTGCAACGGATCTATAGTGTAGTTCACCAGTTCACCCGCGTGCGACCTTGGCTGGAAACACTTTAATACTGAATCGACTCCGGATGACTGCACTCGGCGCGTCGATTCGAAAATGGCGTTTGCCTTTCATCGGACGCCCCTTCGGCCCGACCAAACGGGAACCCACGGCGCGCCCACCAGCAACGCCATCACCGCCACCTCTCCCGCTCCTTCACCCTCGCGATCGTTATCTCGCCATCTGTCTCCGCCGCTATCGGGGGCCCCGCCTCCCAAGCCCCCCTGGCTCCCCGACCGCCAATAAAAACAATACACCACACTTCCCGTTACTATACCCCCTCCCCCCCTTTCTCCCGCCCTGCCTGCGGTCAAGGGGAAGTGACTTGCGCCAGTTGGCCCTCTGACCTTTGACCCCGGTGACCGTGCAGCCTCTTCCCGTGCCCACGTACCCGGCGTCCCCTTTCCTCTTTGTTTGTGTCTCAGTCTCCTCGACCGCCTAACGGATTTCCTTATGACTAACAGCACGAAAAATAAAACAAAACCAATTTCGAAAAGTGCATGCATAAAAGATGCTGCCCATGAATTAGCACATAAACAGACGACTTTCAATAATCAATAGACGCAAATAGGAGCATTTCTTTCCACTCACTCTTTCTTCTTTAGTTCCCGTTTATATTTAATTTCTGTTCATTCCCCGTCATTATGTTTATCTGTCTCTCTCCCTTCCATGCCCATTCTGCTCCCCTTCCGTTTCTCTTTATATTCTTTCTATTATCCGATCGTCATCAGTCTATCTATCTACATTTCTCTCTCTCTCTCTTATCCTGCCTCATGCCCTTCGATTCACCATTGCTACTGCTCTCTCTCTCTCTCTCTCTCTCTCTCTCTCTCTCTCTCTCTCTCTCTCTCTCTCTCTCTCTCTCTCTCTCTCTCTCTCTCTCTCTCTCTCATGGAAAGAAGACTCTGCAACACTTGAAGGCAACGGTATCACCTGCACCTCCCCCTCCCCTTTGGGCGAGAGGGGAGGAGGGGCGAGAGGGAACCGCACAGCATGAAAGAAAAAAAAAAAAAAAAGAAGAGAGAAAACACTGAATGCGGACTGAAACATGCACGGTATGCGGCAGGAGGGGCGATGCAGAGAAAAGGTAACAGAGGCTGGGAGGGTGGGGAGGGAGGTAACAGATATGGACAGAACAATTTTTCGCATACACACTCACTCACGCGCGCGACACACACACACATACACTCACTCACGCGCCTAAATGTACACCTACGTACACGTCTTTATCTATCTCCCTATCTATTCCGAGGGGGAAGCCACGCTAAAGACACCATACCCGCAGCCTTGGCATGGGAGAGCTGGGCACATCCGTTGATGCAGAGGTTAATCTCTAATGGTGAAATCCCAGGAAATACCCTGCGATATGAGTGTCTCCGTGTGATGCAAGCCGTCCCGAGACAATGCCGAAGAAACCCAGGTGAGAAAAAATGGCCAATATATAATGGTAGCACAGCGTCAAAACATCACAATGTCGATGGAAGTAATCACGATAACATCCAAGTACTTTGGAATAAAAGGAAAACCCTAATGAGACGACACTCGAAGAAAATGACATTGACAATGAGACACCGGTAAACAAAACAAAAAAACAAACGCTCACAAGACGGTTTTGCAATGGCAGACAAACTTACCGACCTGCGGGACCAAATCTAGAACGCGTAGAAACCAGGCTATCTAGACAGGAAAAGCGCCTTATCTCTATATTACGAGATACAGGCGTTAATTCTCTCCCTTTCTCTCTCACAGCATCTCCATCTCAGCTCTCTCAGGTGCCTCCCCTAATCCCACGCACAATGTAATTTTGCACACTTCAAAGAATAGTAATTTAATTTAAAAGAAAAAAAACTAAAATAATGACACCACCAAACACAAAATGCTAAGATTGATTAGATTTTGCGTAACACAAATTAACAAATCTCTAAATAATGTTTAAACTGCGGTTATGAAACACAACATAAATAAGCACAGGTATTTTACTATTCTATGGTTTGTGTATGTATATATATATATGTTGGTTAGCTAATTTATCACCAGAGCAATATATCCTTGGCTGAGAACTCGTTCCTTATCAAACATTCACTTATAGTGATGTACAACGAGTCTGCTTATTTCCTTCTCTTACATCAATCAATCAGTATCAGTCGTGCGTTATCTTATCAACTGATAACGCGCGCGCATCGAGTTCACAGCCCAACGCCGAGCACAGCCACACAAACCCTCACCACAACCTCGCTCACATGACTGTCAACAAGAAGGCGAGAGATGCAAGTGTCCTCCAGCGACTCTCTCCACCGCTGCCATTGGCCCATCCGCCGTGACGTCATCGGTACTGGAAATACGCCATTGGCCGAGCGGCGTCCCGACACCTCAAGGCGGCTCACCATTGGCCCCTTGGCTTTATGACGTATTCTTTTCTTATCAGTTAAGGCTAAGAGGTTTGGTATTCCTTAGAACTTGCTTGAGCGCTGCAGACGGACGGCAAAGCAAATCCCAAACAAGATTGCTTGAAACGCTACGGACTTAGGGACCGGTCGCGCATGCATAGGCGTATAACCGGAGAAAACCCAGGTAGCTCATAAGCGAGGACTATTATAATTTTGAAAGTTCCGCAATGCATCATCAATATACATGGAATCATTCTTAACCGGATCACAAAACCGTTATAATAAGTGTTTTTTTTTCAAGGTAAATTTTCAACACGAAACCGGTAAGAGTCTGCGAAAGAAAGAAGAAAGAAAGAAAGAAAAAAAAAAAAAAGAAATGCAACAAAAACCTTTTAACATGTAAAGACATGCTACTAACAACAACAAAAAACGTCCATTACAAGGTGACATTAAATCAATCACAAGACAATTTAACATCTAATGAAATAAAACAAGACACTAGCTAATTATATTTAAAAAATCTCACACAAAACCCAAACTGACATTAAATACAGAGTCACTTCAAAATCACGACGCAGTGATACCGCCTAGACAATTCACTTACAGAATATGAGATTGCAAAACCCGACAGTAAAAAAAATAAATAAATAAACAAAATAAATAAAAAATTAGGAAGTATCGATATCGCCTCCAGCTGCCTTACACCTGCATAACCCACATTAGACCCCTTCCCCCTTCCCCCTTCCCCTCCCTCCGCAAGCACCTGCACGCCCCGCATCACACCTACACACCCCTGCAACCGTCACCCGGAAGGACCTCTCCCCCTCTCCCCTCCCCCCCCTCTAAAAATACCAGTGACATCAACTCGCCCTTAGAACGAGGGGCAAGGTAGGCCCCCTCCCCTTCCCCCCCCCCATGGTTCCGCCTCCTCCCTTCCTCACTCCGATCTCTCCTACGGTCCTGTTCACACACACACACACAACACACAAACACACACACACACACACACAGCACACACACACACACACACACACACACACACACAGCACACACACCACACACACACAAAACACACACACACAGACACACACACACACACACACACAAACACAGACACAGACACACACACACACACACACACACACACACACACACACACACACACACACAAAACACACACACACACCTCACACCCACGTGTACCCCTGACCGCCAAGCGAAAGGCTTCCCCAATTCGATTTCAGGGCTGGGGAGGGAGAGGGAAGGAGGGTATGCAAACTCAGGGATCCCCACTTGCATGATATTATGGGGAAGAGGGAAGCTGCAGGATGGGAGGGCAAGAGGAGGGTTGGGGGTTGGGGAGGGGGGGGATAAGGCAAGGCGGAGGTGACGTCATCCCCACTTCGACGGGTGCAGGTGGAGGACGTCTAGATATGGTGAGTGAAAAGGGGGAGTGAGTGATGGGAGGGAAGGAGCAGAAGGGAGGGAGAGAGGGAGGGAAGGAGCAGAGGAAGGGAGGAAGGGAAGGAGGGAACACAGGTTGGAGGGAGGGCGGGATGGAACAGAAAGAGAACGGATAGAAATGAGGGAGGGAAGTGGGGAGAAGAAGAAGGGAGGGAAGGAAGAGCCGAGGGAGGAGGGAAGGACGGAGGGAAGGAGGGAAGGAGGAGGCCGAGGAAAGGTGGGAGGTAAGGGACAGAGAGAGGAGGGGAAGGAGGAAGGAACTAAAGGGAGCAAGGGAATCAGAAAAGACAAGAAAGTGAAGGAGGGGGGGGGGGGGATGGAGGATAAGGAGGGCAGGACAACTCGTGAAAAGGGTGGTGGTGGGGGGGGGGAGGGTTGGGTGTTGGAAGGGGGATACACTATTCAAAGTTCACCAGCAACCGCCGCCAGGAACCCCGCCCTCCTCTTCCTCCTCCTTCCTGCTTACCCTCCTCCCCTCCTCCCTTCCCTCCTTTCCTTCCCCCTGCATCACCTTATCGCCATTCCCATCCCGTTTTCAATCCATCCCTCTGCTCTTGGGTCCCCTGCCGATTAGTGTTGCCGATGACAGCTCCCTCGGTTTCCCCTGTCGTCGCTAACGGCGAGGGGAAAATAATAATAATAATAATAATAATAATAATAATAATAATAACAATAATAATGACAATAATAATAAGATAATGATATTGACAAGGATAATAATAATGATAATGATAATGACAATAATAACAACAATGATAATGATGCTAATAATAATGATAACATTATAATAGTCAATTTTAATAATAATAAAGAAATGATACCAACAATAACAACAGCAACATCAATATCAATAATAAAAAAAAACAACAGTAGCAACACCAGTCGCAATATTAATTTCAATCTTGCACACATTGCAGAGAGACGCGGCAGGCACAGACGCAGGCACAGACGCCCAATCGGAGATGACGTCACGGGTTTATAATTAGAACGTGACGTCGATCCCTCCCCCCTATATCCCCCCCTCTACATACCCTACCACATCAACACGATAGCATGCAATATATAAAATTAAATGTGAGGAGACACGCGCACCAAAACACTGAGAGTAAAAAACAACAGAAAAAAAAAATACAAATAAAAAAACCGAGACACTCCCTCTCTTAACGACATCACCTGAGAGCTCACTTCCCTTTCCCTCCCCTCCCCTCCCCTCCCCTCCCCGTCTCCCTCTCACCCTCCCCGTTCTCCCCCCCCCTTCTGTTTCCTCTCCCCCTCCTCTCCTCTCTGTCTCCCCCTCTCTTTCTTCATCCTCTACTTATTTCCCGCTTCTCCTTCTCTCCCTCTTCTCTTCCGTCGTCCCCTCCCCACCATTCTTTCCAGTCTTCGAGCCCTCGCCTCGTATCCCACTTTCCTTCTCCTCTCCCCCTCCCCCTCCCTCCTCTCCTTCTCTCTCCCCCCTCCCATCTTCCTCCTCCCTCTCCTCTCCTCCCCCTCCTCATCTCCTTCCCTCCTCTCCTCTCCCCCCTCCCCCTCCTCCGTCCCTCTTCCTCCTCTTCCACCTCCCTCCTTTCCCGTTACAATGGAGTGGGCCATGCAGTTCCAGCGCCTGTCCAGTTACAGTGCGGACGCCGGGCCAGACGGGTCATCGCCGGCGGAATGAGAGGCCGTTTCAAGGGGAGGGGAAGGGAGGGGAGGGGAGGGGAGGGGAGGGGAGGGGAGGGGGAGGGGGGGGGGAGGGGGGGAGGAGGGAGGGGAAGGGGGGGGAGGGGATGGAGAAAGAAGTGGGTGGGAAAAAGAGGAGAAGGGAGGGAGGGGGATGGGAGAAGGAAGTGGGTGGGAAAAGGGAGGAGAGGGGAGGGGAGTGGAAAGGATGGGAGAAGGAAGAGATAGGATGGAGGATGGAAAGGGGAAGGATAGGTGTAGGGAAAGTATTTGAGAATGACAGGGGAAGTGAGTGAGTGTGTAAGAGAGAGAGAGAGAGAGAGAGAGAGAGAGAGAGAGAGAGAGAGAGAGAGAGAGAGAGAGAGAGAGAGAGAGAGAGAGAGAGAGAGAGAGAGAGAGAGAGAGAGAGAGAGAGAGAGAGAGAGAGAGAGAGAGAGAGAGAGAGAGAGAGAGAGAGAGAGAGAGAGAGAGAGAGAGAGAGAGAGAGAGAGAGAGAGAAGAGAGAGAGAGAGAGAGAGAGAGAGAGAGAGAAAGAGAGAGAGAGAGAGAGAAAGAGAGAGAGAGAGAGAGAGAGAGAGAGAGAGAGAGAGAGAGAGAGAGAGAGAGAGAGAGAGAGAGAGAGAGAGAGAGAGAGAGAGAGAGAGAGAGAGAGAGAGAGAGAGAGAGAGAGAGAGAGAGAGAGAGAGAGAGAGAGAGAGAGAGAGAGAGAGAGAGAGAGAGAGAGAGAGAGAGAGAGAGAGAGAGAGGAGAGAGAGAGAGAGAAAGAGAGAGAGAAAGAGAGAGAGAGAGAGAGAAAGAGAGAGAGAGAGAAGAGAGAAAAGAGAGAGAGAGAGAGAGAGAGAGAGAGAGAGAGAGAGAGAGGAGAGAGAGAGAGAGAGAGAGAGAGAGAGAGAGAGAGAGAGAGAGAGAGAGAAGAGAGAAGGGTGATCAAAGAGAAAAATAAAACAGAAACAGAAAGAGGAAAGAAGAGAGAAAGCTAGAGAAAGCTAGAGAAGAGAGAGAAAAATATAGACAGATGGATAGAGAGAAAGGAGACTAGAGGATGAAAAAGAAAAACAAGAAAAGAGACTGAGCAGAGAGAAGCGAAGGAGAGGTAGCCTCTAATGGAGTAATTTAGATGGAAATGCGGTAGACAAAGAAAGAAAGAAAGGGTATTCATAATTAAGGAAATTGCAACATAAAGAGCAGGATAAACAAGATACAAAAACCACATCAAAGGCGGGAGGTCCCAGACCCAAATACTGGAGAGTTGCAACTAGACAGCAATAATATATAACAAGACGCCATTAAACTTTTTTTCAGGGAGGGATTACGAGAGCGTATAAAAAGGAGAGAAAAGGGACTGAATACATCCGGTAGATAGAGAAAGAGAAAGAAAAGTAAAGAAGAAAGAAAACGAATAAAGAAAAGCGTAAGTAAACAATGATATGAAACTCTCCACAACATAAAATACACACACAAAAAAACAATAACAAAAAACAGGAAGATACTAGGAGCATCTCCACCCAGAAACAAAAGGAATCATACACAGGAAGAATAAGATACAAAGGGAGAGAGGAGAGGAGAGACGGTCTGAAAAGGAGACAGCTCTCTTCCCGACATTTCTCTTGCCCCCCCCCAAAAAAAGAAAGAAAGAAAGAAAGAGTATAGAGAAAGAGAGAGAGGGAGAGAGAGGGAGAGGGAGAGAGAGAGGGAGAGGGAGGGAGGGAGGGAGGGAGGGA